GCCCACAATCGATCATACTACATCATCATATACATAAAGTGAACAACATGTTTACAGTATGTTGTGACTAATATTGTGTAAAAAGCGTCGGAAACTTCTATGAAGTGATCCCTTTTATGTACCAAAGAAACACAGTTGAGGGCTTCTCGCCAACTGGGCTGGCTTGCAGCATACATGTTCCCAGGTTCGTGTGGATTTCGGACCTCTTTGGAGAAGAGTTCTTCCCGTTCTTTCCAAATTGTACACGAAATCGCTTTGTTCAACATTGCGCTGTAAGTTCAGGAGCTCACGTTTCTTGACAACGGTTTTCTTAACTTTTATTTTTGGATTCAAAAAATTTCTTTTCAGTGAAGCGGTTTTTCCACATGATAATAATACCAAACTGAAGAGCACAAATGTTCAATTCACATCTACCTTTTTGATCTGCCGAGCGCCCTCTGGACGCCGGCTTATGAGCGCATTTTGAGGTTACCAAAATGAAGGCGCAAATGAAGAAACAACATCGTTCACAATTGCTCACTTTTGAATGTCAGAGTTGGATATGTTCTAAACGATATACACATTTTCAACACCGCTCTTTCGAACGCTAAAAAGTTCGCAGCATTTCATTTTACCTGAACTTTAAATTCACTTTTGGCTCCAAAAACAGCCATAACACAAGGTTCAGAGGCGCAAAACAGATTTGGAGCTAGCGTTCAGTGCTTTTCAAAGCATATAGGAATTATCGAGCCACCCTTGATTGCAGTGTACTTCCCTTTTGAAATTTTATGTATCCCATTGATTTGAATTTTAAGTCTTCACTACATGATGCGGTTAAAGAATGAGGTTTCATACGTTTGTGGTTTTCTCAAATCTCAGCTTCTTTTTTTAGCATATGTTAAAGGTTCAGGTCGATAGGAGCTCTGAAGCCGTTAAAGAAGTCTTCATGAAATAATGAAGTCAAAAGACCTCGGAAGCACCCAAGACAGTTTCGCCGGGCCCTATTGGCTACTATGCCTGATCTTAGCAACAGTTAGGGTAATCAATCGTTTTCGGAACAATTTCCACGCTGGTCGCTTATCGTTTTCGCCTAAGACTTGGGATTTTGCCTCTTTAGAAGCCACTAAGCGGCGCTGTTTAAATGGAAATTATTGCTTGCTGCGAATCTCCTTTGAAGCATAATTATTTTGACATAGAAAGCAGTGCTTGGATATCAAAGTTGACATTTGACGTCACGTTTAGCCGCGCAGCTTTGCAAATAGTTTGCAAAATAACTGAGTTTTTTTTCAGGATTACAGTAATCGAATATTTGCATTGAAGAGAATAATTTATGCGAACAAAAAGCAGTATGATTGCTGCTCACATATGTTTCAACTACTTTCGGATTTCCTCATTGCATGTATTCTAATCATAGCAGCTGGAATGATATCAAGATAACAAGGTGGAAAAGACATAATAAATTCGTGCACAATTTCTTATCACTTTCCATATTTGAATTATTTACGTTTTACAAACATCCTTTGTGTCGAAGACTTAATACACTTTGTTCGAAAATACTACTTTCAATTACTTTGCAAAAACCTGACCATACTGAGAATCTACACAACTTCAGCAGCCCACTTGTTGAACGTTGGAGGAGGCAACGGAAATCGACCTAAATCTTGCTCAAAGTTTCCCGGCAGATTCGCGCCCTGGGGGGATATTGCTATGGTGGGGTTACTGGTCATACCGGGGGGCGCTCTTACGTGCTGCCAAATGGAAAACGTCGCAACGCGGCGTCACAATAGCCGCGCGTGGGGAGCAGCAGTGCAGAAAACTTGTCAGATTTATGCCACTAGATTATCAATGCTCCTTCTATATTGTTAGTTTTCTTACCCTCTTCATTTTGTATCTTTTTTTGTCCTTTAAAAAGCCCGACTTACAAAATTCTGTGGTAGAACTTCAAATTAAACAAAACTAATGTGAGAAGTCTGTGAACCTCGACAAGAATGACAAACTGAAAACTATGTGCTGCGGATAATGCTGGCTGAATTCCCCGAGTGTGGTCACTGGCAGCGTGTCGCGCGCGACGTTTTCCGATTGGCAGCCCACATGTAACGATACGCCCTCGTCCTCGCCCACTGACCTCAAGGCGCAGTCCGGCTAGTTTATGCTTCCCTTGGGCCGAGAAAATAGCCCTTGAACCGGTGCGCGCTCGACGATTTCGCTTACCGCCGGCGCAGGGCCCCACGACTGCTCTACCAAATTGCGCATGCTATCCAAAGCAAAAATGACAGGGTTTTCGTGCCAGGGCCTCCCAAATTTCCATTGAAATTCTCGTACAAGCCGCCTCTTGGAAAATGTGTAAAAACTCCCGAAAAAGGTCTTTACACCCATTTTAAAGCTCAAATTCGGGGTTTACTGGTCGAAAAGGGCCAGTACATGCAAAAAGATGGAAGTGCAAAATCTGCCGGGACACTGCCTTTGACTGGTTCCTCAACTTCTGAACCCGGAGACCCACTCAGCGCGACTACGACTACTGGGCAGTCACTGCAGTTCCAGGTCGCGTAGCGATTGAGTCGGAGACTGCTGCGTAAGGCTTACTTTTGTTGAAAGAGTGATGGAGTTTTCGCTAAAACTGGAAATGCACACTTCATGCCGCTTTTAACAGCGGAGAAATCGCTCCGATCGCGCACAAAACTGGCTCGCTTTCTAAGGTTTTTGGGCATTTTCTCGGCAGCAGAACTGATTTGCCGCCGGGCTGCTCTATTTTTTCTTTGACTGCCTCTATCTTGCAACTACCTGGTGTTGAAAAATATTTTTTGGAGTGACGTAATGCTTATAAAAATCTTCGCATAGTTTTTGGTCTTTCATGTTCTGGAGAGAACGTTGTACGCCGAATTCCGAGTAAAAAATTAATACCAATCTTAACTACTGCTCAAACTCAAGCTCAAATTACATAGAAGATGTCAAAATTAATCGACAATCGAGCTCAATCTTATTAAAAGGTTTGGTTGGACGAAAAGCGGCGAAGTGTCGAAGCGGCGGCACGTGCCACTACCGAATCGTCACTGTTGCTCTTTTGTGTTGGAGATGCCTCGTACGAGTGTTTTATATGTTGCGGTGAATGGTTACAAACACACAATACAAAGTATTAAAACCACTTCTTAAAAAGCATTTTTTACCAGGTTTTGTCTCTTTCAAACTAATAAAAGCTGTCATTGCGCTTTGTGTGCTTTGACACAAAGATCATATAAATTGGCTGGATTGTGGTATTTTTTTCACGCGCAAATTTTATCAAAACTTTCCCGGAAATTGGACACCGACAAACGTACTACTACTCTCTGATTTAATGGGATTGGCGGCTGTAGGTATGGGCTACGTCCGCACAGCCGCTTCGCTTGCCTCTACACGTCTTTCGCAACAGTGCTCTCTAGTGATTGAAGCTCCCCTTTCGTACGCTCGTGCTGGGAAATGATTGAAGAGCAGGCTCACGAAAAAGGTGCAGAGCCCAAGCAGCCCCGCCCTCCAGCCGCCAATCCCGTTGAATCAGAGGTATCCACTAATGAGGAAGATATAGTGTGGTGCATGGCTTGACTGGTAACTGAGTGCTAGCATATTTTTCCTTGTTCCTTTGCTATCTATGCTAGACACAATCAGAATAACCAAATGATTATTTAGCATTAAAAGTGATGCCCATCTAAAAACAGTTGACACGCAAAATATAGAGGCTTCCTTCTTGAAAAGCGTCTTCTTATTCATTGTCAATGTTTCTCTGTATGAGGCCGGAAGTGGAATTTATTAAATTGTCAATTCGTGACGCAAGTGAATTTTCTGTAAATGTGCTTCAAATGGCAACCGTACGATGGTAAGGACGATGGTTGGTGCGATTTTTGATATGCATAAGAGCTTACATATCGCTGCCAATCAAATCTGAAATCACAAATCATTGCTACCGTAACCGCAAGATTTGTGCAAATGATTTTGCTTACATAGTTAATGTCCTTCTATGACAGTTCTAACATGAACCTGAAGCGAAAGGCTTTCTGATTCTAACTTCCTGATTGGCCCAAAGTTCTAATGAAAATTATGCTTTTATGCTTCTGTTCTCCGTCGCCACAAACTCATCCGAATCCTCAGTCACAAAATAAGAGAACCAAATTTTGAGATTGATAGATTGAAAACAACTCTTCGCTTACTCTTTCGTAATCCGGTTGCGTGTTAGTCTATAACCCTATGTTAAAATAAAAAAATTAGGAAAGAATGCTGAGAGCTTGATGGACTTTAATCCTTACTCGACCATTTTTGATTCAGCAATCATTCACACCGCTCCAAAAACGATTACATGCGCAGCATATTGACAACCTTTGAACTCAGTGTCTTATTTGCAGCTACCGTTCATCTTGCCATGCGCATGATCGCAAAACCCTGCCAGTCCGCACGTCTTTAGCCAAGTACTAGTTTGCAGCTGTTTGTATAACAAGTAAACTGAGCTGTTGGTTGAAGTTGAATTGGAACGATGGAACCTGCGAACATATGAAGCTCGAATGTAGCAACACTATAGATGCATAAGAAGCGCTCCACAAAGAGTTTACTAGCAAGAGTGAAAGACATGTCTAAAGCGGCTATGACAGACAAAGTGCCCCCATATAGTAGGAAAAATCTAAAGAAAAGACAGGATAAACGATGTATAGTTGTTTAGAGTTATGATCACTGCACACAGAGTCCAAGAGCGCTGTCGCATATCGTCGGACAAGCAGCACAAGGACTTCCCTTCATGTAAAGCACTTGGTCCACGATGTTACCTCTATAAAACTCTCATACTAGCTTGAATTATAAAGCAAACGTGCGACGTACTTTGGATCATATAGACATATGACCGTGTAGGAAGATGAGCATTTGGCGATTGCACATCCAATGTATTTGGTGTTGGCCCAAGCAATCTGAGAATGAGAAGTAAAGGTGCTTGTGTTATGCAAATAGAAAACTCAACGTGTGTTCCACTCAATCTACTGTTTCCTAGTGTTGACTGCTTATAATCATTAAGATTCTACAGGTTGATTCACATGATTACTACGGAATGTCACTTGCATTCCTGGACCATTGCTTTCGGTACGAACCACTTTCCACCAATTTGTCACAGCCTATATATTTGCATTTTACGAAATTCTAAATCAGGAACCATACAAAATTGCCAACCTTTTTTACTGCATCTTTGTAAGTTGATACAACGGTACTCGATGCGAAGGTGTTGAAGTTTTTACCATACTTACTATGCGGTGTCTTAGATGCAAAACATTGTCGTACTTCTTGAATAGCTTCCTCTTCCAGAGTGCAGTTGAAATTCTGAAAATTTTTAAGCATGATAGAGGTTCCAGAACCACTTACAAGTTTTGACTGGATAATTCGCACCATAGGTAGTAGAACCAGTTTTATGATATTTGCTCCAGATGGTAGAATGTTTCTTGGTCTTTTGACTTGGCCGCCTTTCGCGAGGATGCTTCTAAAACATCATTTGTATAAGGTCGTGCCGCAAATTTATTAAACCTTCGTCTGCCTCTGAAAAATCTATAACTTTAGCAAAGTCTGATATATGGCTTCTATAAATTGAACAAAGGGTTATTGTTGGCATTATTTTACCTTGACCGATATGGGTGTATGAAGGCAATTTTGTAATCGGTTCAACCTGCATTCTTTATTTTCCTTCAAATTTTCTGTCTCTTGTTCTATATGTTTTTAATTTATGAATTTTCCGGCATACAATTGAGCTTCTAACTCTTAGAAGAAAATAGATTGTGGTATTCCGTCGCTGCGTTTTTATCGTGAAAAAACCGTCGGGCTATAACTTCTTTGAAGTGGATTTTTGAAGAAACTGAAAACAACGCTGAACTGCTACGAATCCGGCGGTTTAGACATTAGGTCTAATTTTCGAAAATACTATTTTTGACTTATTGCAACGTTTTCGCCGCGACAAAACCTTTGTACGGCGCTAATTTGCTTGACAATAAGTTTCACGAATCTAAAAATGCATTTTTGAATTCCTGGCAAGGTCCGACTTAGAAGGTGCTTTGAATTAGCAAAAAAGCTTCTACACACAGCATTGAGTTAGTTAGAATGTTTTCGTCGAATTCAGGTCAGGTTTGCAAAGATTTTGAAGGAACTGAAAAAAGTGCATTGTGGGTTTCATTATTACTACTGACCTATCAAATACGATGCTGGCTGATTTAGCCCCCAAGAAGAGTTAGCTCGCGGACGCTAGGTGCGGATTCCACCTCATAATTTTCAAAGCCATTCATCTGTGGCCAAATGACTTCGTAGTTTGCAGAATACAAGGATTCTTTTAACAATATAGTTTGGATCCGAGCTGTCATACGAAATCGTTTTCTAGGTACGTGGTCTTGTATTGATGTGCACGTGTTATATTGGCCCGTAGCAAAGCTCGATCAGTTGAGGTGAACTCAACTTATCCCAAGTTCACCTTAGGTGAGGTGAACTGATCACCGTCCACGTTCCCATACTATAAGATGGTCAAGTCAACTGATAGTTGACCATCTGTCCACCTGCCGCAGTCAACTCTTCCACATCAGTTCACGTTCAAGTCACCTCAACGTGAACTGGTGTTAGAGTGATCCAAATAGTGTGTAAAAGAAGAGACGCAGACAAGAGGTGACTGCATCTAACATAAGTTGCTCCTGAGTAACTTACGATACACACAACTTTGCCAAAAAATGCAAAAAAAAATCGGCGCAAAACTGCACAATACCGGCGCCCGAAAAGGGAAGGATCGATGAACAGCTGATTTTGGCGACAAAAGCAAGGGTAAAAGTTTTCTTCTTTTTTTTGCAGAGCAATCTTAGTTTCTTGTAAAAACTACTTTAGAAGAGAATCTACTTATTTATTACGTTTTATTTATGTTCCAAAAATTTCAGTTTTCATGAATTCCCCGTCAAAATATGTCAGTTTTGTTTTATCTGTCCATTTGCTAAGTGATATCCTTGTTAGCGGTCATCATCGATTTTTTTCCACAGTGGCCGCTATCAAAGATTGCCCGGCGATGCAGCAAAAGTTGTAGCGCTAGCCGGTGTCGAACCAAGACCGCGCGCGTGTGATTCTAATCGCTTATCCGTTTGACCAGACCAGCTCAAGTGGTTGAGCTTTTTGAGAACACATGTGGTTATCATGTCTAGGAAGCGATCCACATCCAAATCAATAACTCACTGGATGCTGGACTGAAGCGCGATGACCTCAACTCCGGTCCGCGTCGAGAGAGATGCCCGGATGGGGGGTTTACACGGGCCATTTTATATTGACGACGTGATGCCTTATTTCCAAGACCGTGATACAAAAGATAGATTGATTAAAGTACTAACATGAAAGCAGTTCGAAAGTCTAGGCTGTTCAACAATGTAAGTAGGAATTTGAAATTGCCAAAAATAATTCAAAATTGTTTGAAAATTGCAATAATTGAATCTTTGTAACGTGACGTGGCATACATATATGGAAGAGCTACATCTCTCCACACAGTCTGGATTTAAAAATATGAATTTTTGAGAAAGTTGTGAAGGTTTTTTCAAGTGTTGAATCTTATGTTAGATGTAACAGTGATGTTGAAACTTACGATTACGGAAGGAGATATAAAGATGAAAAAACATATTTTAACCTTCTGTAGTTCTGCGTGTCTAGGAATTGCATTCTGAGTTCATCAGTCATTCCGACATTGCTCGAGCACTGTGTATTGGTTCCTATAAAGTATATAGTCAGAAGACTAATTCAATTTCGTCTTTCTGAGATTAGGAGAAAGAGTATTTTGATAGATGCGACTGCGAATCCGAAAATTTAGTGGATTCGAGGAAGAAAGGAAGACGAGAAGTGGAGAAGAGAAGAACACATAGGTAGCTCTCGTCATTTGCAGACTGAGAGAAACGGCAAATTTACTCGTAGGTTTGAAATACTATAATGTTTTCTGCAAATTTTCCATTTGGTTTTATAAAGACTATATTCTCCCGTCACGTCTACAATGTGGTGCTCAGACATTAATATGTGAAAACTTCTGCTGATATAACATTGTTGACTTAGTCTTCAATCAAACTTGCGTGAAAAAAGTGACGATGATGCATCAGCGATAAATACGCGTAATATCTGAGTTGATCCATCTAAATAGTTGAGGGAAAAGCGACGCGGATACCTCTTTCTTCTACCATTATGTTCTTAAAGACAACTCAAACTTATATTTATGAATAGATTGTACCGCTGGGTAGCTCTCCAGGATAGCTGGCTGGCTTGATGGTAGCAGTTTCTTTTGCTGCTGTTGTCGTGGTCTCGGCAGCAATTTCACATAGTCCAGTGCCAGTGTCGCATGATGTACCAGGATCACAGCCCGCCTCAGAAGTACATGCTCCATCTCCGACCTCGTATATGGTATATCCGTTCTCTAACTGTCTGAATATTCAGATATGATTTGCAGTGACAGTCCGAGAAGTTTGGGATTTTGCGGCAACAAAAAATTTTTTCAGGTGCGCATTCCAGCTAGCGCCACCACCTCTCATATAGTCATTTTCCAGAAATTATTCGTAAGGCTACTTGGTTCTTGGTATGTTTTTGAAATTATTTGGAATATTTGGAACAATAGCGGTTTCTCAAATGATTTTATAATGAAAAAAGGGCAATACAAAATTTGCGACCCATTCTCGGCCTTGAAGCACAAGAGCTAGAATTCGACGCTGTCCACGAACAATACTCTGTCAGTTACTTGTAAAAACTCACTTCAGCTGCAGCAACTGAAGGAGATGTTGGTACACTTATTCATATTCAAATGCAGTCTTATGCAGCCTTTGCCTTTTATAGGCAGCTAGAATTTTTTTTGAAAAGTGCAAAAAAAATGAAAAAGCGGGCAAAAGTGTAGGTCTGTAATGGATTTTATGATAAGTGAAGGGATGTAGCGTGCAAATTCAGTGAGTAGGGACCTGCACACCCAGAACTCGTGTGGGCTTACCAAAAGCAGGTTAAATTGATTTGCTTCAATTATTGTTCTTTACTGCGACAAGAACTGTCTAAAAGGAACCTGAGTTGATATTTCGCCTGAAAGGTCCCCTTACACGCATTTTCATTGCTTTACATAGAAGAGAATTGTGCTACAGTAGCACGGGAAGTAAAGCAAAGCAGCATATAGATTCACTTCTGAGCATGGGCTGTATGCATCTACTAATTACTAGCGCAGAAATGATCGCCCACACTGAGAAAGAAAAGCGTCCTTACCTTGTTTTTGAAGTTAGAAATTGATTTTACAAAAGAGCACTTATTTTCTCGGCGAGACAATCATTGAGAGATTTTTGAGAAAAGGGCACCCCACGAGCTCGAGCGAGAATTTTTCGATTGTCGATCACACCAGGGATAGAAGTGCAGTTCGAGAAAAAGTTCAAAAACCTTACAATTTTCTCTGTTCCTGCAATTATGACAGGAAGTGCCTACTGAGGGAGATACGAACTTTGATTTCGAAAATTCTCATTTCTATGTACTTAGCATTCCGGACGCTTCCGTTATATTTCCTCCTTTTGCTTTTCCCTAACCTCTAGCACATCAACAAAAATTTTCAGAACGAACTTTGCTGTCATTCTTTTTTGAATTGGTTATCCCAAGTGGTCCACGTACTCTGGGACCTTCCACTTACACTAACTTCTAACCACTTGAAAAAGATTTGGATTGAACACTTTTGGCTCACATGATGTGCGATTTGTACTGCGAAGGTTTTAGGTGAAGATTAAAAGCGCTCATCAAATCACGCAGCTGTCGAATGTACGGATTTCAGCCAGTGATTGCGCAAGAATTTGATCGTGTATGCTATTCTAACCTTCGTAGCTGTGCATTACAGCAACATGCTCAAAATATGCAATATGCTCTCCGTTGATACTGTTACTTGTACGAATTTTGCTTATAAGCGACTTAGAATCCAGACTCATTCATGTGGTAGTGAATAATTCAGTGAGAAAGTATGATACATCTTGTTCATCCGCGTTTTTGTGATGCAAAAAATTAATACGAAAAAATAAGCAGTATTCTGCTTTTGATAGATATTAGTGAAAGATTTCAAATTATGAAAGATCCTTTGCTTCAACTAAATCAACGTGGTGGAAACAAAGGGTACTTCTGTGGCGGTGAACTAGGATGGGAGTTCAAGTGATGTGTAGAGCATTAAATTGTCGTCACACGAAATCGACATTCAGTAAACTTCCCTTACGAATGTAAACCCTCAAGCATAGAATGAACAGCTGAGATTGTACTAGAATCCCGAGCCAAGATGTCAGATTAGTGGTGAAGATTCAGGTTAATGGTGAAAATATCTTTGGCAAGGAAAGGATACTTGGCGATTCCGACCTTTTGGAATAAGATGTGTACCTGTAGATGCGTTTCAATGCTGATTTCAAATGTATGCTCAACATTTGCTGTGCTACTCTCTGAATGAACTATGTACTTTTTTCATATTATTTCCATAAGATCTAGGTAGTGAGGATTGCCAGTGTCCAAAATTTTTTGATTTTTATTTGGAAGCTATTCTGTAGCGCGTAAATGACCATTCAAACGGCAGTGGCGAAAACCGTCAATAAAACAACAAAGTTTGGGGGAAGAAAAGTTCATAGCTTCCTTTGAAAGAGCGCATGATAGTGAAGACATATTTGGAATTAGCGCTTCGAGATGCATTTGATTACGTTTCATTTCAAAAAGCCACAAACACCAAGTATCTTTCCCTTGTGAGTATAAACAGCATTTCAACTTTTTTTTGATACTCACGGTTGATTTGTAAAGCAGAGCACATAGATATCATCGCAATCTCCAGATGCTCGTGCACAGCCAAGTTCTGTTGTTGAAGCTCGAATGGGCTGAAAGCCAAACAGCTGGTTATAAACTCATTGAGAAAGTAAATAACATTGCCTCACATTAGTGAATTCGGTGGCTGAATATGAATCACTGTTGTATGTGACCTTCGATTTCCCAGAATCAATGAGTGATTCAAGATTATCAGCGGCAAGCCCTTGGTTATACCATCCTTCATTGACTTCGTCAACTGGATTATCATCCTCACTGAAAAAGTAATAGGTTATAATCGCGCATATCTAATCATGTGCGCACTTTCAGTCTTAGTTGATGGTTGTTATCACAGCCCGCATCTCACTCTTTATAAGACGTCATTTAACGTCATCAAAACAAAAGAAATAAAATAAGTAGTTACGTCGTTTTCTTTGTACAGTCACAAATGGCAGAAGTTTCCACCAAATCAGGCCATACAGTGATCATCTAATGGTGCGTAATTTGCACTCATAGAGTCATTCTAGGTGAGTGCAAATAACTGGAGGCTATAACTATAACTAGAGGCAGATCTACATCTCTTCTCTTCCAGTATAATTCGAATTGAATAGAAATCCGATCATTCGAATAAAACTTTCCAAAATTTGCATTGGAAGTTCGAAACTGTGTTGTCGAGTAAAGTCGCGAATTTCCCGGACCACTCCCTTTGAGTTGAATTTTTGTGTGCCTGCGTGTATGTTATCTTCCCTAGCAAAATATAAATTTCTTAAATAATTTGAGCACAACTTTGCACAGGTACCAGTGGTGGACTGGGGGGGGGGGGTGGGGGGGGACTTACGCGGGTTATAAAAATGTGCAAGTGACTTGTTTATTCTTGTAAACAATTGAAATAGTTTTCAAAATTTTTCGAAAATTCTGATTAGCCTTATAAAAAAATTTCTTCTGAAGCGTGGCTGACGCCACGCCCCCTTTTTCCAGATTTTAGGGGTTATGGACTCGCAAATCGAGAAGCATCCCTGAAATTTTTTCGAAGTGCATTGCTGACGCCATGCAACTCCATTTAAAAAAATTCCCCCCCCCTCTCCTCCCCCTCGGTCCGTAATCCTAATTCGCCACTGACAGGTACCTCTTGAAACGGGTGTCATAGGCTGAATCAAGCTATGGGTGCAACACAGGGTGTCCTGCACACTGTTTGATCATCAATTCTCGCTTGAACGTTTTTCGCCGAGTTTGAGGCATCCTTTGTAGGAGAAGCAGCCTAAATTCACTGCATAGAACAAGCCACCGATCCTTCTTCACTACTGCAGGATTACGCGAACTTTGACTAGTTGAATAGTTTTAGGCCATTAGAAGCGTTATTTTGCCTCAGAAGAAAAACCAAAGACAAAATGCCCTGGGATAATCAAAGTCGCTGGTTTCAAATATGAGAACTGCATTTCACTGTGATGCTTCTTGCACAAATTTTTACAGATTTAGGGTGATAACCGTTCTTTCAATGTTCGTAAATATGGTTACACCACCAACAATAAGAAAGCTCGAAAAACTAAAAAAGAAGTTGGTAAGAAGTTGTGTAGTGAATTCAGCACGCCTGAAAACAGCTACACAAATCTTGAGATTTTCAAGGATTTCCTTCATTAAAAAGCCTGCTCCACACTGACGCTGTATGCTGAAACTTTCTACCATCCCACAGTAAAGAAAAGATCTTATTCTATGTCGTCAGTCTAAGTTGAACCTACCTGTACAGAATGGTACATCAAGCTTGGCAAAGGACATGTAAGCATGAGAGTTATTAACGATCAAACAATGTGCCTATCTTTTTGGACATGCTATAAATATATACTTTGATTTCACCAACAGACGTTGAGCTAGAAGTCTAGGCTTCTTTTTATAAATGGTGCCGATAATAAATGACAAATATCTGAAAAACATAACTTGCTTTTGTCAATTACATCGTTTTTGGAATAGAAGCTGGGACGTAAAGCGTTAAAGGAAATAAGTGTGCATTCTGAACATACATACATAGCATTTGCTGATCCTCTGATTTTTTCGTAATTGTTTAGGAGCTAAAATTTCGCATAAAGAGTCAACAGAACCAGTTTTGTTCACTACTGAATTTGAGAGCTTTACCATGCTGATAAATAAAACTTACGCCCAATACATATATGCCTTATCCGCTGGGAATCGCTGTTGCAGTTACTAAGAAAAGCGGAAGCTTCTTCCTCTAAGGTCAACTCCAATCCTAAATTTTGACTACTTCACCTCGCGTTCATTAAAGAAGGCGATAAACGAAGATGAAGAGAATCCCCTGCATAGCGTAACCTCAATGAATTCTTTTGCTTGGATTTATCTGTCGGATACAGATATCTAGAATTTTCAAACTTATTATCCCAAACTTTTATCTAGCTACGAATTTTGTGATCCACTTGCAGTTTCAAAAGGAATTTAGACCTAACCCGCCATTTCGAGCTTCCTTTCATAACTCACTAATGCAGATACTTTATCACTTTTTGGTTATCTATATCACTCACTATTTTATTCATGTTCTTCCCCGCTGGCAGGGGGCCTGCGTCCCCTTTTACAACATTCGATCGTTTCTCGTTGATATTTGCAAGCGCAGCTTCGATATCACTTTCTTCCAGCTTACCATCAGGACAGAAAGCTAAAATATAGCAAACCTGGCGCAATTGATGGTATCAACGCCACCTGTAATCGTAAAATTCAACGTACTCATACAGTGGAAATATGTAATGGCTTTACCGCAGACACTATAACAGCTGTTACAGTCATGTTTGATGAATGCAGAGTCCTGAAAGTGGCGACTCTGGCAGTTTTATATACTTGCCGGAAGGCCGGCAGTTCATTTTTGCTGGTCTGCCACGCCCACTTTTGGAAGACATTCGGATTTATTAACAAGATCAATATTCTTCTATGTGCCAGAGCAAAGCCCATTTCGCATACTTCTAAAGTTGATGCAGCTGTCCTCCTCTGATCTTTTGACATAGTTTGCTTTTTTGATCATGCTAACTCCACCACTTGATTTTAGGTAATTAAATTTCAACTATTATATGATTTTGTAAGCGGAGCTAACGATGATGTTGTGTCCTCCGCGTCTATAGAATAAAAATAAATAAAGAATAAATAGAAATAGTCTATCCAATTCCTTTTCGACAGCTTCGACTGCAGCATGGGGGACAGGCCTGCAAGCTTTGAACACTGGGCGAACTTTTTCGTCAATTCTCATGTGTGCTTTCTCCTTCGTACAAAGCGCTAAGCCTTCCTTGCAAACTTCTGGATAGGCTTCCTTTAGCTTCAGAGCGATGTCCTTGGTTTGCTCTGTCTTCATTTCAGCAACCATTCTGCTTAAGTGATAGGACATATCTTCGTTATTCTGGATCCACTCCAATCCTAGCAGTGAGTTTGGGGCGTCACGTATGCGTAGCCTTCACTTCTGGATCCTTTGATCTCGTAGTCGCACCACAGCTTTCCATGAACCTTCATGGAGCCTCCACTGGCATTCTTGACGACCACGTTCGTGTTCTCCAGCCGAGGAGCGCCCATGCTTCTCTAGGTTGATTCCTTCAACAATGTGATGTCCGATCCAGCATCTAACAGGAAGCTGACTGGATAACTATTCACTTTTGCTTCGATATACATGCGTGTCGAGTTGACATCCACCATCGCATTTGCAATCTTCGCTACGCTATGCACATGACGTTTGGGTTTCGTCCAACTTCTGTTCTTAATGGTGTCGCTGCTTCTGTGGATTCTTCGTTCTTGCTGAAGAAGTTCTTTTCTCTTAGCCACTTGTTCGCAATACTTCTTGACCTGTAGCCTTGCACTTCTTGCAAAATCATAGCTTCGCTTTGCATTCCCTAGCAAAGTGAGCTTTACCACAGTTCCAGCATTCCAGTTTCGTGGGTTCCTCCTTGCTTGTTGCTTCGACAATCTTCGCACAACCAGCAATAGTCTCGCTATCCTTCTTGAGACTGAGAAAGTTCTCACATTCCAGGTACAACTCTTGCAGCGACATCTTTCGTCCAGCCTTGTATTCCTTGTCCAGCACGGCGATGAGTCGCTGCCTTATTTCAGCTTCTGTTTGGCTTTTCAGGCCAGATATCCATAGCAAACATTTGATTCCATCGCTATCGGTTCGTGAATCTTCGCTTTCTCGCACAATTCGTTCACTCTTCCAGTGTACATGAGGTAATCTTCGGCGTCGCTCTTCTGTAGCTTTAAGCACTGGTACCTCATTGTAAATTCGGAAATCTTCACGTCGAGTAGTTGCTTTAATGTTTCGACGGTTTCTTTGAACTTAATCACAGCCACTTCTTTCGGTAGCACATGCCTCTGATATTTTTCGAAACATTCCTTGTCGAGCTTTTGGCACAGAAGCCTCACCCTGGCACTCTCTGGCAGCTGCTTCGCATCTTCGACGAAGACTTCCTTATAACGAGCGTACCACTTACTGAAGCATTCGTCGGCTTCTGGGTCGAAGTAAAATTTTTCGATCCGGTTGCTCAGCGCGGACATCATGTTCGGAACTTCCGACGACGTACTGGGCTGTCCAGTACCGGCGATGTGCTGCAGAAATGTCTCCATCATTTCTTGCCTTTCTTCTCTCATCAATTCCCTGAGGCTCTTCTGGTCTTCTCTGATCAGTTCCTTGAACATGATCGCCAAGTCTTCTGTGCCTATTTTCGCCATTTGTGACCACTCCAGCTTTCTAGATTTCGTTTCCCTGCAGCTTCTTTGGCGTGGTTCCTGGCGTGCTTCGTTACGGCTACTTGTTCGCTAGTAGCCGCTGCCTCTTGATCGCCACTGTTGTGTCCTCCGCGTCGGACACTTCGACTCTTCGTCCTAGGGCACAGAAGGAAACCAAGAAATTTATTAGAGAAATAATAGAGAATAATAAATGTGGGGCGAATGATGAGAACTAAACTCTAGAACTGTAGAACTGAATGAGGCAAAGAGTGAGCGCCTTTTATAGCGCTCAATTTCCCGCGCTCTCTGAGGCTAAAATCGAATGCGCGAGGGCAGATCAATCACTACGAGGAAAACAGCTGATCATTTACGATCACTAACACAACAGATGATATGCTCGAACTATGGATTGACTTGCACCATTTCATACTACATATTTTCTCGCTGCCGAGAGCAAATCTGGTAGCGTAGTTTTTCTAACGGCGCTGAAATTCTTCTCAAACTTTTTATTTTCTAAAAATAGTAGAGAATATTGAGTAACGAAGCTGAACAGATGCCTAGTTTTGCTCCTTTATAGATCTAGGAAACTGACAGCGGCTCTATCTTGGCTGATTTTAGTTGCAATTCATTTTTCGTGAAATTCAAATAACTTTTTACCCTGAATTTTCCATTAATGCTGTCAATATTTTTAACCGCGTTATCATCGTAATAATGTGTGTTTTCCTTCAGCAAATAAAAAATAAAAATTGAGGAGTTCGCTCCAAATGTTTTAAATCCAAAAGCACATCAGTTGTTACGAAATCTCAACTCCACAGTTCCCCTGATGATTTTCTTCCATATTTTTTGCTGTGCCGCTACTGTAGATAACATAATAGCTTACGTAATCAGTATGTATACATATGTGAAGCAGATATTTGTTTGAGGCTGATCATATGACTGCATTGTAATAAAAAGTTTTGCTTACCTTCTGTGGAATATTTTTGCAAATGCAAAATGCACCCAAACTGTTACTGTCAGTTTTGCGTGCCATGTTGCAATCACTAAAAGCTCTGCAAAATTCATATCACAAACGCCCTGATGTCTCATACTCTACAAAAAAATCTAAAAAGCTCGCCGTTGTACTGTCACCGTTGACCAACACATATTACGTACTATGTACAACTAAAACATTTGCACTGGTGAGAACTGTTCATGTGTGCTTGCTTTAAATGACATGAGCAACAAATCCAAACTCAGAACCAAAGCTGAGATTGCAAAAATGCAAAAATCTTTGAGAGTGTTTCCCTTGGGACATGTGCAAACTGTATGGCTCTTCGGAAATCAAAGTCTCTCCAACGGTTGATAATAATTCGCGGCATGACTGCCACAAATAAAAGTGAAAGAGTACTGTTTGATTGAGCAAAGCAAGCTCTACAAGAAGAAGCTTTTGAATATTCGTAAACGTTTCTGAAGTTTGAAGATAAATCTTTAGGAGGATCTAGATGTCAAAATAATCTAAGGAATCGTCTTTGTCCAAAAAAACACAGAGACCCCCCAGCTTGCTTATGCACTTTCTCTCTACATCAGACATTAGTATGCAAAGTTTTGAGTTTCTCTATGACTACAAATCGAGAAAGTTTTCGCTAAAAAAATGCTGAGCTACTTCCAGATAGGTGATTCTATATTACAAACCTTTAGAAGCATAACGGTGATTTTTCAGGGGGCGGGGGGCATGCGAAAGATGCGCGAAAATACAAGTAGTGTGGAATCGCTCTTACTAGTATTTACAAAATTTTACTTATGGCATCGAGTCGTGTACCTGCCCTCATCCCCCCCCCCCCTATGACGCACCGAAGAGTTTTGAAAGGCACAAGATTTGGGGACTGCCCCCAAATCTTGTGCTTGGGACGGCAATGGGGGGGGGGGGACGCCTTCACCACCCCCATTTTTCAGCTCTCCACAAGAGCTCCTTTTTGGATGGAAAAACAAATTATCGCAAGAAACCCGAAAAACGTTGCGTATTCGCACTTTTGACTATTTTTTCTCGTTTTATCTCGCCATGGAAAAAGCCATAAACTGTACATTAAACGTAATTGAAAATGTAATATGTAGAATGTATTGAGATTCACCTTAGCTTTAAACTTTAGATAGAAGAGAGTTTTCGCGAGCAGTTGCAGATCTTGCTCTGCTCCATCATATTAGGTTGTCTCGAGTTTTGTCGGTTTTTTCAAACCACTGTAAAACCACGCACAATAAAGATCTGAGTTTCAATGCGCATTCGATGGAGCTTTTTCTTCTCTTTCTTATGGTTACATTTTCATACCATAATCTTGTATGCTTTATTTGATAATTGCCAAAATTCTCCACCCGTCAATTTTATCTGCTCAAAGTTAGACTAATTTCTAGAAATTTCATCCCATAGTTTCGAAAAGGGTCATGTACCGGTCAAATAGAGCAATTTTCGGTCTACAAGATAGTGTTTTTAGATTATTCTAATTTGCTGTTTAGCTTCAAAACAATTATTTCTCCGAAGGTCTCGAATTTTGGGAAAGTCATGAAACACGCAACGCATCAAATACGCGAAAGCTTTTGAAGTTTCTGCGTATTAAAACATAATTCTTACTAAACATTATTTATGGAACATAACCAACTTTGAATCGCTTTGAAAAGCAGCTTTTTGGAATTTTTGGTACTTTTACATGTTAAACTCAATCAGAAAAGCCGCGGTTTTTATCAAATAAATAATTATAACGGAATTGATAAACGCGGCTCACATGTAATCTAAAATGGGTATAATGTAGCCAAAGGTTTGCCCTACATAATAGCTACCAACGCTCTTTGGAAACATCAGAATAAAAAATTCTAAAATTCAGTAAAGATTTGGCATTACTGCTGAGCTGCTCAAAAAGCCATGACGATAACATTGCAAAGACAGAATAGAACAGTGAGAAGTATAACTGTAAGAAAGACGATAAAATCTGAATCGAATGGTATCTAAACCGCCCACGGGTGTTGATGATAGGTGTTCTGTGAGTTTTAGTGAGCGACGAAAGAAACCGACAAAACTTTCGGGACAACCCAATATAATAATTTAATTTCGTGCCTGTCCTGTCGCAGTAAGATGTAAACCAAAATTGTCCAAACGGCCTTCGTATTCAAAAAATAAGGGGCTGTTACTCAAACTATAGTTTTGCACTCTAAGGAAACTCTCTGTTTTCAGGCTCACCTCCATCGCAATTTACCACTTTTCTCGAATATATTAATGCTGAGAGCTACACACTACAAATGTTTCTCGTATCTCAGAACCAATGAAACTCAATTTACTTTTTTATGTTCTAGGATGGGCGTTATGAGTAACTTTGTCAGCATTCAAAATCTGTCTTAGGGCTGTAATACCTCTCCGATGTTCTTCATAAACATCTGACCTACAATGGTTTCCGTTCTTTTTCTTGTCTTTATGTATGTTCGCGCAATCTCTCTGACTGTGGCAATTTGCTGACTGTACTGAAGAACAAAACTTAGGCCAATCAAATTAGCACACCTAAAAACCCTCATTAGCTCGAAAAATTTACAGCATATCCAAATGATCGAGTCTTTGTAAAACATCATGTGATCTGCACATTATGTGCTGCAACTAACGACATTCTTACCAGTTAATCTCCAGTAAAACATTCTTTTGCGTAAGAAACCGTAGATTTTTCATTACTAAGTAATGCATATCCACTGAAACCGAGAAGACAAGAAAACAAGGAAAATTCACCAGAAATGAGCAGATTTTATTTTACAAGTCTTCAAGTAGTGCCCATGTTGTACAATACACATATCAAGTTACTAATTACTCGAGGATAGTTGATGAATACGAAAGTAATAAACGTTTGTGGATAAAATTGGCGCTCTCACCGATTTCATCAATTTTTCCGATGCAGGGCTGCATTGATTTTTTTTGAATTTTCAAGAGATATTTTAGTTATTTGCGCAATTTATAACCCATAGCATAGCTTCAAAGACTTTGCAACCTCGGTCCACTGGTGGAGCAATGCTTACTTTTTGCGCTTTATTTGGTGGCATGGGAGATAACCCTACAGTATCCCTCGTTTTTGGGTGGTGTTGACTATGTTCCTGTTTTGTGCGATTGTGCAAATATGTGTCTTTGCTAACGTGCTTGCTGCAAATTCTCCCCCCCCCCCCATTCGCTTTCATCACATTTTAGCGCTCGTACTACAGGTGGTAAAATGTCAGTACTGCAGTTTTGAAAAGCAAAAAAGGACTTGACTTCTCAAACCAAATTTAACGCTGTCACTGCTTGATCAGCGATGTTGGAGAAATTGCACTGCATCATTTTTCGGAATAGAAGCACATGCGTGTTTTAGATTGGTGCAAAATTTTCCTTACTTTTTTGATCCAACTTTGATACTGCATATCCAGTAAAACAAAATAAGTAAACCAGGGCCCGGCAGGAGGTGGCATTTCAGAATTTTGACAACAATATCCCCTTTGAAGCCAAAATTTCTTACGACTTCCCCTTTGACCCTATTTTTGACCCCCGTAAGTCCCTGACAAACAGATATACACAAGTAATAAGATGGGCGGCCTCAGCGCTTATTATAGTAGTACTACCTGGCTTTCCTGGTCCAGCCGGTCATCAAGGTTTCAGCTCAATGGTTCAAACATAGGGTACTACTCATTTATTAGTCAGCTGCGAAACTTTACAATTTACAATAACCGATTGCGATTGGAGCGCGCTTTCCGAGGCCGATCATAACGCTGTGAACCCTATTTGGGGCTGTATCGAAGCGGTGCCTTGGTGGTTTTGGAGGCGCGCGAGCCACCTAATTTCGAAAAACACTTACCATTTTTTAAATTCACTTAAGTTTCTCATAATTCTTCATACTTTTTTTGTGCTCATGGTCCTCCAACTACACAGCAAATTTGGTGCCATATCGTTACTTGTGCATTGAAAACGAGCCTACTTTGTTATTTTCCTCTTACAAGAACTGCGATTTGAATTCCCGCCTGCGGGCAGG